GAATGGAGGGACAACAAATGGAACTGGGAATGGAGGGACAACAAATGGAACTGGGAATGGAGGGAGGGGAGGGAACAACACAGAGACTACAAATAATACAAATGACAGCATCCTTCCACTTCCACAAATATCCATGCGAATTGAAGAGGTACATCTCAGTTCCTTATATATGTTTTTATTTTTAGAGCTATTCAAGTAGATCTTAAATATATTTTAGTATTTACCTGTATCTTTGTTGTGTGAATTTCTGTCTACTTTTTACGAATGTAGCAGTGACCTTTTTTCCACTGTTAACATTTTTTCTATTAACAAAAAAAAAAGAACTCCCAGAAATACATACGAACAGGGTCAGTGTCAAAAATCTGAGTTTCTCCTCACTGTGCCGCCTGCGTAAATCCCAACAGTACTTTATGGTTATGACAAATCCGATAACCTTAAATAATGCCACACAACTTATTTAGACTTTAGTTTAAAAAAATAAAAATAAAAGCCATTACCTGTTTTGTCTAAAAGTTTTCTTGTGTTATTTTTTAAAAGAAAGCAGTTGCATTAAGTAAATGTCACGCAGCCATTTGGAATAAGGTACCGCCCCTCCCTGAGCCTGGTTCTGCCAGAGGTTTCTTCCTGTTAAAAGGGAGTTTTTCTTTCCCACTGTCACCAAAGTTCTTGCTCATAGGGTGTCATATAATTGTTGGGATTTTCTCTGTATGTATTATTGTAGGGTTTACTTTGCAATATAAGGCACCTTGAGGCAACTGTTGTTGTTATTTGGCGCTGTATAAATAAAACTGAATTGAATTTGTGGTGCTGCAGGTATCCAAGCCAATGGACGGTCAGGACGTGAGTCTGAAGCTGGTGCTGAACAGTGTGAGCCGCACTGCCAGGCCTGTGTCCATCAATATCAGCGTCCAGGCCATGAGATACAATGGCTCACCGGTTGAAAACATCCAGACTGAGACAAAGGAAGGGACACTGCAACCTGGGAGAGGTGAGTAAATTGCTGAGGAGTTTCTCACAAGTGTTTTTATTTATTTGTCCTGGGGGGGGCTGCAACAACTATAATTGTCTCTCACTCCCTCTGTCTGCTCCAGATCTGTCCATCCCTATCTTGGTCCCCTTCTTGGTGTACCACAAACACATGGTAGGCTCTGACAGCATGAAGATTTCAGCTGTAGTCACAGATAAGCTGGAGCCGAAAAATGTCTACCTAGCAGTGAATGATGTCATTCTGTTGGATCCTCCTATGTCCATCACAGTGAGTAAAAAACTACCATCTCTGTGTCTCCTTAATCATTATGTTGCTTTGTTCGAAGTAACTGTCACATTAGCTGACTGCTGTTGATTGTTGATAAAATAATATATCATACTTAATATATACATACTCCTCTAAATACTCTTGTAATATAATTATACTTAACTATGTTATGTGCCTTTAAATAAATATAGAATATAATTTCTAATATATATGTATAGATATATATATCTATATATACTATATAGAATATATCATATATCTATCTAATATATCTATATCTTATCTATACTATATATATCTATATCTCTATATATATCTATATATATATCTATATATATATCATATATATCTATATATATATATATATATTAATATCATATAGATATATATATTATATATATCTATTATATTATATCTAGTATATTATACTATCTATCTATATCTATTATCATATATATATATATATATATATTATGGTATGTATGTTGTATGTTGGTTATGTATTTATTATAGTATATCATATAGTAGTATTATATATATATATATTATATAGTATATGTATATATAAATATATATAAATATATTATAATAATATATATAATTATTTATAATAAATTATATAAATTTATAAAACTAAAGTCTGCATCTATGCCAGCAGCTACTTCAGGCTGTTCTTGGTCAAAGGAGGACTTTGAGCAAATAATGCTACAACTGACATGTTTCTTTTTGGTTTTTTGTTGTTGTTTTTGTTCACAAGTGTGTTAGATACATAAAAGCTCGCTAAAGTAGCACAAAATAAAATAAATAAAATAACTAGCTGGTATAGCTCAACTAGCTGGTATAGCTCAAACTGAGCCTGACCTTTATAGATGATGAGTCAGTTCCTATTTATACAGTTCATCTTCAGCAGCTTTGGTCTCTATACCAAATTTTGTGTTTGTCCATTAAGGATTGAAATGTGACTCCTGTATCTGTAATTTTATATGATGTGGGCTATCATGTTTATTTTTCATGCATTGCTAATGGTAAAAAAAAGAGGCTGGATAAACTGAAGGTATAATTTGTAGTTTATATTTTCAAGCAGGTTTGAATCAAAACTGGACATGCAAAGATTTTTACATTGTTTTACTGACTAATAAGTAAACAGTGAGATTTTTGTTTTTCAGGTTAATGGTCCAGTGAGACTGAACCAAAGGACAGTTGCTGAAGTAGTTTTCATGAACCCAATCAACAAGATGCTGACGGACTGCACTCTGACTATCTCTGGAAATGGTCTAGTGGATGGGGAGGAAAAATGCATGTATGTGTGAAAGATCTGCTACCTTAATTATTTATTTTGAGCCAAGAGGGAAAGGCAGTAAAAATACTGACTGTGTAAGTGAATGGGTCAATGCTCTATCATTAAGACAGAAAAATCTAGAATTTAATTTTTATTCTTTCTCCTGCAGCCTCTGGAAGTGTTTAAGGGTCTGAGAGTAACATGAAGATTAAATATAAAAACAGAAATCAAATTTGAATTCACAAGTATAAATGGGTTGCTTGTCTCTCTAATATTGATAAAAACCTGCTCTGGAGCAGTTTAAGTCTGCAGCATAAGTTACATAACTATAAACAGCAGTGAGAAGCAAACCACCTTTATAACGCTGAAAAACAAGTGTTAGCTCTGACGTTACCTGAATAAGCCCAAATCCTGCTTCATAGTACAGTCCCAGCAAAATCCCTTGAAGGAATAATGATAAGAGGGTCATCTCTTTGTAAAAGTCTTTTCCGCCGTCTGAAGTTTTCAGATTTTACCATATCTCAACATTGTTTGGATATCTGGCAAAATTGTCTTTTCAACAGGCTTCTAGCGAGTTGTTACTGTGTATAAAATGTTATGTCAAATCCACAAACTAAAAATCAACCTTAACAGTTCTGTATTACTCTTATGTTTCCCACAGACTTCCAAATCTGAGGCCAAGCAACAGGATACGCATCCAGTTGCCCTTTTTTCCAAAGAAGACCGGAAAGAAAACTCTCATGGCTGACTTTGACTGCTCCTCCTTCAGAGACCTGAAGTGCACCTGCACTTTCGATGTTCTACCATAAACATATATATATATATAGATAGATAGATAGATAGAGATAGATATATATATATATATATAAAAAATTAATTCAACTTTATTGTCATTGCACATGCACAGGTACAGGGCAACGAAATGCAGTTTGCATCCATCCAGAAGTGCTTTAGCCGTGATATAGATATATTACAATATATATTAGCAATAATATAGATATGTAAGTATATTACAGAAATGGGTCTATTATGGTATG